AGGTGCGTGGTGTGTGGGGGCTGGTGGGGGGGGGGGGGGGGTGGTGTGTGTGCGCGCGGGGGCTGGTGTAGGGGTGAGGACAGTGTCGCTAGCGCTGCTCGCCTCTCCGGTCGCCCCACCCAGGCTCCTGTCCCCATCCCCACAGGGCATCGCAGGCACGGATGTGGCCAAGGAGGCCTCGGACATCATCCTGACGGATGACAACTTTAGCAGCATCGTCAAGGCGGTGATGTGGGGCCGCAATGTCTACGACAGCATCTCCAAATTCCTGCAGTTCCAGCTGACGGTCAACGTGGTGGCCGTGATCGTGGCCTTCACGGGCGCCTGCATCACGCAGGTGGGTCCTCCAGGGGCGGGCAGGATGACGCAGGCCGAAGCCTGGGGAGGGCGGACACCCACACGGGGTGTCCCAGATCATCACACCTGCACGCTGAGGGCCAGGAACTGCATCACAGACCCAGCCACGTAGGCGCCAGCCCCACAGGGTGCAGGAAATGAGGCTCAGAGAGGTGGCGGGATTTGCCCAAGGTCACCCAGCAAGTGGAGATGCCAGGCCCACCTCCACATCTGCCTGACCCAGGCACAGGCCTGGCCCTTGCTCCAAGAGGCAGGAGAGGTGATCCTCAAGGGAAGGCAGGACCCCTGGCCCCATAAAGGGCCAGAGAGAGGCCGAGGCAGGACAGGCAGCCAGCTGGGGTCGGGGAGCTGGCAGGGCCCTGGGAGCCTCAACTCCGGCGTGGAGTGCGTTGGGAAAGGCCTCTGTGCCTGGGTTCCTGGGACTCGTGGAGCCGACAGGCAGGCCCCAACACCTGCTGCCTCACTGCCTCGTCACCCACCTCACGAGGCGGGAACTGTGGTGATCCCCATTTCACAGAGGCAGAAACCGAGCCTCAGAGGATGGGCCTGCCAGGCACCTGCCATTGCTCCCGCAGCCTCCTGCCTCACCCCAACAGGGGCTGACCAGGAGAGGGCAGGTGTTCCGAGGCCTGGCCCCTCCCAGAACCAGGTGGGCCGGCAAGCTCCTGCCCATAAGAGCACAACAGAGGCCCAGAGGCCAGCACTGCCCTGAAGAGCTGTGTGGCCCTGGGAATGCTGTCCCCTCTGTTGTACTCTGAGCCCTTGAGGGTGCACGTGGCAGCACCCAACACCCCAGCCCTGAGAGTGAGAGCCCTGGGGGGGTGCCTAGGGCGGGGTGGAGGCGGGGGTCCCTTCTGCTCATAAGGACGTTGTCTCCTGCTCTGTGTACAAGAGGCTCCCTCTAGTGGTGGCTTGAGGGACACTCCCGTGGTACAGCCGCTCACACCAGGCTTCTTGGAGACCTGCTGGTGCCAGATGAGGAAACTGAGGTGCCAAGGGGATCGTCAGTTTGCCTGAGGTCTTGGATTGAGTTGGTGGCAGGGCTGTGAAGGCCTTGGTGGGGAGATGGGGGCCCTGACCGCACGGTGCATAGAGGAGGCTGATGGGCAGGAGGAAGCTGAGGGGAGTGGGGAGTGTGACTGAGCCCGGGCAGAGGTGGGAGAGGTGGCCTGCAGGAGGGGTGGTGATAAATATCTAGGGGGTGAGTGAGTGTGTAAGGCGTAGGCAGAGGGGCCTCAGGAGCCAGCTCAGTCCAGGCTGCTGGGTATATAGGATCTGCGGGCTTCCTGGAGGAGGTGCTCGGGCAGTGTAGACCACGTGATGCGACTGTGCGCAGACAGTATAAATATGTGATCCCTGTCTCAGCCAGAGAGAAGTGTGGGGATCCACACCAGAATGTGCACGGTGGGAACCCGTAAATGGTGAATGTTGATGAGTTTTAGCTTCTTCTGTTCCTTACTTGCCCAAATTTTCTACCAGGAAAATACATTATTTTTGGTGTCACAGACACACATAATAATTGCTTAAAGTAAACATAAGAGGTAAAGAGAAATTGGGTGGTAGTGAAAAAGGGAGAGGGTCCCAGGCATTGTTTGTGGGATAGGAGAAGCCCGAGCCATTGGTGCTAGAGGGGAAAGAGGCAGCGGGAAGCAGGGGAGGTGGGGTCTGGGCGGGAGATGGTTATGGGAGGGTCGTGACCTTAGCCTGGAAGAGAGGCTCGTCCAGATGGGGGCTGGAGAGGCGGAGGAGGGAAGACGGCGGGGATGTGGCTGTATTTAGGGGGGCTGGGCTGTGGAGCTGGTGGCCATCGGGCCTGGGGCTCAATTTTCTCCTTGTGGGAGAAGACAGGTCTGAAGTGGGCGGGTCTGGGCTGTTCCCCAGGGAAGGCCTAGCAAACCTGCTTCATGCCTGCTCTGGAGCCCAGGGGGTGGGCCAGCCGAGGAAGACCCATGAGGAGAGCCGGCCTCAAGGCTCCAGTGGGAAGCTGCTGACACCTCAGGAAGGAGCCCCACCCCGGGCACTTCGGGCCAGCAGGCGGGCCGGCCACCCCGTGACAGCCCCCTCTCCACTCGCTATCCCCAGGACTCCCCTCTGAAGGCCGTGCAGATGCTCTGGGTGAACCTCATCATGGACACGTTCGCCTCGCTGGCGCTGGCCACCGAGCCACCCACGGAGACCCTGCTTCTGAGGAAGCCATACGGCCGCAACAAGCCCCTCATCTCGCGGACCATGATGAAGAACATCCTGGGCCACGCCGTCTACCAGCTAACCCTCATCTTCACCCTGCTCTTTGTTGGTGAGCCCCCCACCCTGCCCACTGGGGACACGATGGCCCAGACCCAGTGCTCTGAATTCACAGCTGCCTGCCTGTTTGCTGGTGAGGTAATGGAGGCCTAGGGAGGTGAAGTTAGTTGCTCAGGGTCACACAGCAAATCTTGGGTAGAGACTGGCCCTGCCCCAGGTCTGGCTGACTCCAAAGCCAGGGATTTTTCCACTGATGACAGCTCCAGACACTGTGTACACAGTGCAAGGTGGTGCCTCACGCCAGCCCCGCAGGAGCCTAAAGCTCTAGGGGGAGTGACCAGCCCCTTCTCTCGTTGCTCCCACACTTGGAAGGATCCTCACCACGCCATCCTCAGAAAAGAGCCGCATGCCTGCCTACCCGCCAGCTGTTTCCACAGCACTTTTATTTAGGACCCTCTACCACCAACCCCCATGCCAATGAGGGCACCGAGCACAGAGAGGGGAGGTGACTTGCCCGAGGGCACGCAGCCAGTCTGAGGTGGCACCCTAGCTGGTTCTAAGACTGGCCTGGCTTCCAGGGTGCTTCAGAGATGATCCAGGCGAAGCCCACCCCTGGCACCTGGAGAGGCCCAGAGGCGGGCAGGAGCTGGCCCACAGCCACACGGCAAGTTGGGGCCAGCTTGGAGTCCCCAGAGCCTCTCTGAGCTGAGTTTTCAATGCCAACGAGCCCTTGCCCTCAAAGTCCAGAGTACAGATGGCGATGGGGCACGATCCCATTCCTCAGAGTGCAGTTCCCTTCCGTTGTGTTGGCAGGACGGTTGCAAAGATGATCATGAAAAGCCTTGGAGGATGTTCGGGCAATGCAGAATTAGAAGAGACTCGGGGAAAGCTGTCAGGCTGGGGAGAGAGCGGGGCGTGGTGGGCTCCTGCTTTACTCGCTGGCTTCCCCACGTGAGCGCCTGCCCTGGGCGGTCCTGGACTCAACCAGATCCTCACACTCAGAAAACCCCACAAGCCCTCCCAGCACCAGCTCATGCAGCTTTGCAAAAGGACGCAGGACGGCATCAGGCGTGCCCTGGGTGGGTGTCCACACGGCAGCCAGGGGCTGTGTCCCCCACACACTGCCACGTGGCAGCTCCTGTGACAGAGAATTAGGCCACCTGGGTGAGTCCAGAGCCAGCCTGGCCTGGAAGCTCTAGCCTCCGTGCAGGAACTGGTCTCTCCTGTAACAGCCCCTTGCGCTTCCAGAGGTCGCAGCAAGGACGTGCTCAGTTACAAGCAGCAAGACTCTCGGGGGGACCCGAAGCCATGGTCCCCCGCCGGGTGTTCCGAGGCCATTCTACATCCTCCCAGTCCGGATGAGTTTGCCAACCAGGGGTTGCTTTTCATAAGCCCTGTTGCCTTGTAGCACAGCTGGCCTCCCACCTCTATCAGATTTCTGCAGAAAAAGTGGAAGAAAGTCCACCCAAGGCCTTTCTCCCCTAGAGGAGAAAGGGTTCTGTTACCCCTTCACTTACACCCCACAGCTCAGGCCCACCTGCGCCCCAGTGTCCAGAGAGCACCTTCCGCATCTGGGTGACCCACCCGGCTGCTCAGAAGAGGCCCCCACGCAGGGCCAGGCGTCCCCCCAGCTCCGTCCCTCAGCCCGGCTCCCGCCCTCTCGGCTTGGCAGGCGAGAAGATGTTCCAGATCGACAGCGGGAGGAACGCGCCGCTGCACTCGCCGCCCTCCGAGCACTACACCATCATCTTCAACACCTTTGTCATGATGCAGCTCTTCAACGAGATCAACGCCCGCAAGATCCACGGCGAGCGCAACGTCTTCGACGGCATCTTCCGGAACCCCATCTTCTGCACCATTGTGCTGGGCACCTTCACCATCCAGGTACCAGTCCCCCCACCCTGACCTGGCCGGGGTGGGCAGAGGGCAGCGGGCAGCCAGAGCCCCTCAGCAGTGCCCTGAGAGCCCAGACCTCCGAGCTGGCCCCTGACGGCCTGTCCCTCTGTCTCTCTCTCTCTGCTCCCTGTGGCCTCCAGATAGTGATCGTGCAGTTCGGCGGGAAACCGTTCAGCTGCTCTCCGCTGCAGCTGGACCAGTGGTTGTGGTGCATATTCATCGGGTTAGGAGAGCTTGTCTGGGGCCAGGTGAGTGCTGGGGGAGCTGCAGGAGGGGCCTCTCAGCAGGGGAGGGGAGAGAACACTGGACAGGGAATCCAGGAGCCCCAGGAATGGGTCATGGCTCCTCCATGGATTAGCTGTCTGGCTCCGGGCAAGGGCCTGCCCGTCTCTGGGGACCGGAGCAGTGGGGGGTTGGCCCAGGTCTCGAATGCTGGTCATTTGGGTATCGCCACTGTGATTTTTGCTTCTGTCTATACACCCCGCTGATCCTGTTATTTGCTTGATACTTTCTTTTAGTCACATCTGTCTTTCTAACGGAAATTCATTTCAAAAGGTAACATATTACAGATACGATTGGAAAATCAGTATCACTTGTCATAAACAGAAGCTAACCAAAAAACTGTAACAAGCACGATGTTATTAAACTCTAACTAGATGCCATGGCCAGCCAAGGCTCAGAGCTCGAAGCCGGCTTGTTGTAAAGAGCATTAGTAGGTGCTGTGACACCAAGCAGAGGCTCCTTCAGAGAGCTCGGAGGGAACGTAAGAGGGGCAAACCCTGCTGCATCACAGTGCTGTGTCTGCAGCCATCTGTGGCCCTCCCCAGGTTCGGGGAACCCTGGGCTGGATCCTCTCTAAGGGCCCTTCTAGCCATGACCCCAGAACGTTCTCCCACCAGGCGCATGCACACACACACGCACACGCACCATCATGGAACTCACAGCTTGCAGCTCAAAGACGCCTGACCAGGACATGGTACCCGGAGCTGGATCCAGGCAGTGGGTGCCCCAACAGGCCTAAGACGTTGGTCTTGCCTTCAAGCTGTCCCCAGGCTAGAGTGGGAAATTCCAGTGAGAGAAATTAACTAGAAGGTGAAGAATAAAATTTAGTTTCCCTCAGAGCAATCTTCTTTAAACTTTGGAGCTTCTTTGGAGAGTTGATAAACTAGGTTTGACTTAACAACGCCATTCCCTGGGCACCCTCAGGGCCTGGGCATCTTTGTCCCACTGGACAATCCCTCAGGGAGCCCTCGGCGTCTGGATGAGCAGGTTCCTAACACCTAAGGAAGATGCCAGGGGGCAAGGCCCACCTTAAACCCCCAGGGAACCCCTGAGAGTGTTCAGGTCAGCCCCTGTCAGTCCCTGGAGGAGAGGTCAGGGGCCTCTGACCTCTGCCACCTCAGCTTCCCCACAGGGCCTGCCGCTCAGGCCTCAGGCCCACGGACAAGCCCTTTGGAGGAAGAGTAAGAACAAAGGCATATCCCCCTCCCATATTGCCTTCCCTTTCCGGGAGGGCAGCCATTCCAAGAGTCCCAGGATTGACTGCCCCCAAGGCACGCAAGCTCTGAGCGCCTGTTGCCCAGGGTTGGGCACCCCAGGACCCAGTGACCTCAGGAGGAATAAGCCAGAGACCTGAGGGCCAGTGACTTAGACACGCCATCTCCAACTCTGAGAACTCTTCCCAGCTTTCCAGATGGGAAAGCCGGAGCTCAGAGAGGTTAAATGACTTGCCCCAAGTCACAGGGCTTGTAAGGTCTGGGGTATCCAAAGTCACACGTGTCCAAGTCCCCAGATTTCCCACGATTTCCCCCTGCCTCTGGATGAGTGAGTGAATTAAGAAGCAAATTTTTAAAAATTTAAAGACTGACTTGAGGAAGGGGTGCGACGAGTTAAGGAGTGAGTCGAGCGTCACTAGGTCAGTGGGTAAGAAGAGCAGGTGGGAGGGAGGGCGGCCGACCCCGCCGCTGACAGCTGGGCCGCTCGCAGGCCATCGCCAGCATCCCGACCAGCAGGCTCAAGTTCCTCAAGGAGGCGGGCGGGCTCACGCAGAAGGAGGAGATGCCGGAGGAGGAGCTGAGCGAGGACGTGGAGGAGATAGACCACGCCGAGCGGGAGCTGCGGCGGGGCCAGATCTTGTGGTTCCGAGGCCTGAACCGGATCCAGACCCAGGTACAGGTGGCTCCTGGGGCCGGGCCCGTGCCTGGCGGGGCGGGTGGCCATGGGGATGCGGGGGCGAGGGTGGGTCCAGACCCGCTCTCACCAGCTCACCAGCCTCCCGTGCACCCATGCTCGCCACACACACACTCCGCGTGGCCGCTGAAGAGCGGCCTCCTCGGGAAGGTCCTACCTCCCTGTCCACCTGGCCGGGGTCGGACTGGGGTCACACCCACTGTGGGCTTTGAGGCGGGGGGCAGGGGGTGCCCCTAAGGTGGAGGAGGGGTGACCCTGAGGGCCGAGGTGAGTGAGGGGCTCCTGTCAGGGTTGCTGGGGGGCCGCCAGGAGGGTCAGGCGAAGCTGGAGACTGATCCACGTGAGGCCAGGATGGCAGCTTCAGGCCGGGGTGGGCCCCGGATTCTCCCGGCCACGTGGTCAGGCCTGCGGTGCGGGCATGTGCGTCTGCACGTACATATTCCTCCACGGGGGGCTTCAGACACTCTCCTAGCCCCCACTGGGACATCGAGGCATTTCTGGGGACCAAAGCTTGGTTTTCCACACACACACACCACGTGCACGCACACGCACCCCAAGGACACACATGTGGAGCACACGTGCGGGATGTGTGTCCGGCCAGAAGCAGGTCTCTGCCTCAGAACGGGACTGCGTGGCCACCACGTGGCACACGCCACGAACATGCAGCCCCCATGTTCCCACACGGCCCCTCTCCCTGAGTCAGGGCTGCAGTTCTCGGGGTGCTTTCACAGCCCTGTAGGATGAGGAACAGAGGGACCAGGACACCGAGAGAGGCTCAGTCTCCTGCCCAGCCGGCCTGGGACAGCTGTGCTGGGACGTTCATGGTCACCCTGCCCGCGTCACGCTCTGGGAAGTGCGTCAGGGCCCCCCACCTTGGGCCTGCGGTCCTGCAGTCCTACATGGCCTACCACTGCATTTCCACCTAGCGCAACAAAGACAGTTCGCCTGGGCTGCCTCACACCCTACAGGGACTGTCCCAAACATCATCTCATTGGCCTTCCCAGCCCCCTGAGAGGTCGGTATGCCCCGCACCTAGTTTTAGGGGTGACCGAGGTTCAGGAGACAGCACTTTCTGGGCACTGGGTCGGGGGAGCAGGTTGCAGACCCAGAGCCTCCTGACAGACAGCAGTCTGGGCTCCGGGACTAGCCCTCCGGGTAGCCCCCATCCCCCACTTCCCAGGCGGGCCCAGCAGCTCTCAGCACACACACGGCCCTGGTGCTGTCACCAGCCTGGCCACAAAGCCTTTGAGGAGGACACCGGGACTGTAGTTTCTTGAGAGAGCATGAGTCCTATCTAGCCTGACTCTTACGGACCACTAAGTGGGCCAGTGCTTTGCCCCTCACAGCTAACCCTGCCAGGTAGGTGGCATTGCCCCTTCTGAAGGACAAGAAACTGCCACCAGGCAGTGACTTGCCCAAGGCCGTCTAGCTCGTAAGTGATAGAGCTGGGGTCTGGGCCAGGGTCTGTCCACCCCAGAGCTCCCAGCACACCACTCTGGCTCCACGCCTGGTCCCCAGGGCTGAGCACCCCCTCTGCCTCCAAACACCATGTTTAACGCCCCACCCGCGGCCCCCAGCCCAGCCCATTGGCCCCTGAGTCACCGGAGCAGGACCAAGGCCGGGCCCCTGTGGCTCCCCCCTCAACCGGGCCCTGGGGACCGCAGGTGCCCGAGCTGAGCAGACGTGTCTCAGAGCCTCGGAGCGTGCCTGGCACTGTCGCCTTGGTTTAAGTGGCGTGCTGTCTTGCCGTGGCTGCGGCTGTCCCCGTGGCCTGGCGCCGTCAGTCGCGTGGCTGTCGTGTCCATTCTCTTGGCAACTCGTCTCGTTCTCTCCTCCGCTGCAGATCGAAGTAGTCAATACTTTCAAGAGCGGGGCCTCCGTGCAGGGAGCCCTGCGGAGACAGTCCTCCGCCACCAGCCAGAGCCAGGACGTAGCCAGTCTCTCTAGCCCTAGTCGCGTGTCGTTGTCCAATGCTCTTTCCTCTCCGACCAGCCTTCCTCCTGCTGCAGCCGGGCGTGAGTGTGAATCCTTACCGCCTCGGGTGCCACCGCCGCCAGCGCCGGGCGGCCAGGAGGGCAGGGTCCGGGGCGCCAGGGACTCGGGGGGCAGGAGGTCGCGATTAGGCCCAGGCGGCTGAGGGGCCCCGGCCATTGAGGAGGGTCCCAGGCGGTCAGCAGACCACAGCCAGGCACGGGGTGGCAGTCCCTTAGGGGGCCAGCGTCGGCTGGGGTCAGGGTCAGGGGTTATGACCAGGCAGTCATGGGGTCGTGAGGGTCACAAGTAGTCAAAAAGTCTGGGTCAGTCAAAGGATCACCGTTGGTCAGGGAGGTTTCAGTGATCGGATGTCACAGTCCCCCACAGGGTCACGGTGGCCAGCGGGGAGCAGTCAGCTGGGGGGCGTGGAGCACACCAATCGGTGTAGGGTCATACCCGGTCAGGAAAAGCCTGGCTTGTGAGGCCCAGGGTCGGAGTTGGCCAGGAGATCACAGTCCTGCGGTCGAAGTCAGGCCAAGGGTTACTGTGGGTCAAGGGAGGAAAGGCTCTCGGGGGTCACAGACAGCCACAGTGAGGTCCAACCCAGAGGGGTCACTGTAGACCAGAGGTCACAGTTGGTCAGGGGACCCAGGCCCCCAAGGAGATCACAGCCTGGAGGCCCTGTACCCAGTAGTTCAGCCCCTTCTGCCCTCTCTCCTTGTACATCTGATAGCATCAGCTACCTTACACACACTTCTCTCTGCAGCGGGCCTTGGAGCACAGCGAAGGCCTGAGCCCTTCCTGGAAGGGACAAGGCTCCTGACCCATGCCACTTGACCTCAGGTAGAGCACAGTGGGGGTCTCATCTTGGCCGGCTGACAGCAGGCCCGAGGGACCCAGTCTAACCTGTGGCTTCCTCCTTCCTCACTGGAGGGACACCTGGGACTCTGACCTCCTCCATCACCTCCCCCCCTCGAGCTCATCTCCTCACACCAGGGCTTCTGACCCAAGTTTCTCAACTCTGGTCTTGTCTAGATCTTTATGAACGCCCCATGGCTCCAGGCCCCAGAGGGCACAAGGAGTCTCTATTTACCACCTGCCTCCCTTCCCTGTCTCTAGTCAGCCCCTCCTAAACCACAAGGGAGCTGCAGTCTGATCCTCTCACGTTGTCTGTTCACTCAGCCAGCCCTTGGGCTTCTCTGATGAGACTCCAGGCCTCATCTCTCGATACTTTATAAGGTGCCTCTACCCACCCTCCCAAGCACAGAACACACAAAATACACATCTCTGCCACCGGGCAGGAGAGGACCATGTGCTGGGTGAGAATGATGCCGTCTGAGCCCTTGGACAAGAGGCGCAAGCCACACGGTGCTGTCGGTGGCGTGTGCTCACGTCGCACGACCTTTCTGTGGGTGCAGTCCCGCCAAGTACACAAAATGACAGGGAGGATGCAGAAACGGGGGAAAGCCCCTGTGCTCGTTCATCAGCACGAAAACACAGCGATGGGGAGGCCAGACGAGCCAAGCTGAAGTGAGGCCACGTTTGAGCAGATGGTGTCTGAGTCACGTTCCCATGAGGCACTGTCACCGGCAAGTCACTGCCAGGCTTTCTCAGAGCGGGAGACACTTTGTTCCCACTCTCTCCCGCTCCATACAGAGCGCCCTCGCCTCGGTGGGAGGCCCGCGCCCAGCTGCCCTACTCCCGCGTCAGCCGAGCTCCAGCCTTGGTCAGCGCTGCCTCCTGTTGTGAAGTGCAGAGACCAAAAGTGCCCAGGGCTGGAGAGCCACCTGGGGAAAGGATCTCTTCCTCTCGGGGTTCCCACTGCCCTCCCATTGCTTCCTGCATCCCTCCGGCCGGTCTGACTGCCAGAAGGTGGCCTCCGGGTCCAGGCCCAGTTCTTCGTCCTCCCCGGTTCGGCCTCTTTCTTGAAGCGTGGCGCCTCACCCTGGCCACCACGGAGCTCACGGCACTCCTGGGCACCTGCAGCCTTTCCCTTGGTTAGGCCCCGCATCTTAGCTCTTCCAGTCTCGAAGAAAGAGCGCAGTCATCTTGAACCGTTTCTTCTGCCCTTTGGAAAACCATTCAATAAGGCCAGTCCTGTGACAAGTGGTTCTCAACACTTTTCCTTCAGGGAAGTGCCCATTTCTGCCTGCCCTTTGCTTCCTATCTCTAAGCCAATCTCCTTCTAGCCCAGATTAATCCCTTTACCCCATGGTGACCCAACTGTGGAACAGCCTTTGAGAAGGATGCTATAGGCCTTGCCCATGTCCCGTCATTTTCTCAGAGGACCCAAAGGGGCTGATCAGGCATGACTGCCTCACCCAAGTGCCGTCTTGCCTCTCCCTCAGGCATCATGCCTCCTTAGGAATCTTGCATTCCTACCTGCAATTGTAGAATCCAGCCTGTAATCCTGGGTCCCTTCTGGGACCCTTTCTTGGGCATGGGGTCTCAAAAAACGCTTGACCATCCCCTTGCTCAAGGGTACTGGTTCCAAAATTGATCACAACCTCTATGGTTTCAACAGACACATTTTGGTCAGCACAGTCACGATGTGAACTATCCCCTAGTTCCTCCTTTGCTTGAATAGTTTCTATAGCAATGTCACCTCCTCTGGTCTCCAAGGACTCTGAGAGCCCTCTAGATACCAGGCAGGGTCCCTACAGAAGCCAAAAGGCTTTCTTCCCACAGGGTGTGAAGCAGGGGGCCAGGAAGTAAGAGAAGGGGTCCCCGATTGGGTGGGTGGAGAGGTGGGCTCCCCCCACCCCCTGCCTCCTCCGAGTAGGATCTTGTTCCCAGGATTCTCCAGTAGAGTAGGGTGCCTGTTGAGTTGAAAACACCTGGGCTCTCTGTGCCCTGGAAAGAGTCAAACCACTGTCCTTTGGGCTATCAGAAGTGACCACCAAGTCCTGGGGCAGGGTGGCGTGTGCGTGGCTGACTTCTGACTCACGACTTGGGGTGAGGAACCCCCCAGCACATCGCACATCCCTCCCTCAGCACCACTGTGAGGCGGAGGGCCCCAGGCAGACGGATACCATGCGGTGACAGGACAGTCTGTCTGGTCAGACTGGCATTGGAATGATCGGGAGGAAACTCTGGTCCACTGCCTTGCTTTCCTCTTCTGACTTACTCAAAAGCGAGTTTCTTTTTTTTCTCCCGGAAACGTAATGGCACACCCCTAATGCCTTATACTCAAGCCTCACCCAAAATTTTCCAAAGCAGTTCGGCACATCCTTCACTCAGGCTCAGAGAAGTGAACTGACTTGGCCAAGATCACACAGTATGTAAGTGACAAGAGATCTGACTCCAAAGTCCCTCGTTTTTCTCACCACCCACACCACCTCCCAGATAAGCCCACAGACCTAGAGCCCACAGAGGTTGAATTTCCACTGTGGAACCAGCACCCACTCCCACAGCCTCATCCGGTGAAAAGGAGGAGCCAATCCTCTGGGGTCTAGAAGGCCAGGGAAGCTCTTTCTCTGCTTGAGTTTCCACCAGCCTGGCAGGGACTGAGAAGAGAGGCATTTTCCCATCGGTGATCAGGAACAGAATTAGCATTTAGCTCTTAGATCCAAGGCCAAGCTACAGAGCTCCTCTCTCTTGTTGCCACAAATTCCTAACCCATCTCAGGCTACCTTTGTATCTAGCAAGTTCATAGCACGCTCCACGTTCATGAGTGAAGGTCCTGTTCCTTCAAACCAACCAGGCCCAGAGCATCAGACTCCTAACCCCAGACCAGCCACTTTCTGGACGCCGTACCCTGCTAGATAGGGCATCCCCCATCCCACTCCCCTTCAGATTTCCGGTTCTGAGGACTGCTAGGGCAAGGAGTTTGCATCTCTTAGTGGGAGAAGTGAAGAAGGGAAGGAAAGGAAGCTGGACCTCTCATTAGCATTCTGGTAACTAACTTAGTGCAACCTTGGGTTGGCGAGAAAATGGCTTGCTTCTGGGGGGGAGTCCAGACCTCTCCGCTGTCTGAATATTCCATGTGTTTGTTTCCCTAGAGGGCTAGAGAACCCTGGACACAGAGTTCAGCAAGAGAGAGTGAAATTAAAAGAGGTTGTGAGTCTTTAACCTTGAGCCTGAAATGAATGTGAATCAATCCCAGACTCTTGGCTTCCTTGAAGCCGGGTAAACATTCGAGTATGTCGAACCCACCCCAGACCGGGGCCCATGCATTTCCTCAGAGCCATCGACAACGGGCATGGGGCTCCCTACCCACTTTGTGCTGATGGAACCAAAACGTCTGAAAGCCCACGGACCGAGGCCCTTCCTCTCTTCCCCCTCACCCCACGCCCCAGTGCAGCTCATGCCAGCAAGGCCCATCACCAGGGCAGGCAGGGAGGGGAGATGGGAGAGCTTTTTTTTCTTCCCATACTTTTTTCCATTTCAGCCGCGAGAGATCCGAAGTGGAGACTTGAGATGGCCGTGGCGGGGTGTCCCGAAAAGTCTTGTCCCCACAGTCTTGTCCAGAGCAGTTCATTCTTTCTGTTGTCTCCATTCCAGGGGGAGGGCGAGGGGCCTACATCTCATTGTGTGTCATCCCCTCCGCGTTGTCAGTCACACGACAGGGTCCTGCCACCATCCCTCCTCCTCCACCAGGCGCTCCCGGCTGGCATCTTATTGCAATTCAGCCAGGCTCTGGGCTGAGCAGCTACAATGATCATTATTATTCCCGTTTTACAGTTAAGAAAACTGAGGCCTGCAACATCTTTTTTGTTGTTGTTTTCACTTAACCAAGGGAGTTGTGGCCCAGTTATCCGGAGATCAGAATATTGAATAATCTCTACAGAGCCGCAAATAGGGAATCCAGGGAGAAAGAAACCTCAGAGCAGGCAAATGGCCATCACAGGGGACCAGCACTAATGCCTGGCGTGTGGCTGGCTCTCTCCTGGCACCTGATGCCTCTTACTGAAAGCAGGATTCCACCAGGCAGGTTTCCCTGGAGTCCCCTGCCCATAGCACGTAAGAAGGAGAGGGGACAGAGATGCTTTTGAGAAGGCAAGGGAAAGCCAGAACTAGTAAGTGATGGCTGACAGCAAAGGAGAAAAACTTAAAAAAAAAAAAAAAATCAAAACTGTGGGGTCTTACACAGACCAAGAAGGCTTATTGACAAACTTAAATTCTTCTCTGTGTTCTCTAAAGTAAAAGGCAGAGGAGCTTAGGATGTGCTTTAGAAAGACTCCTCTCTGAAATAGTCAAGCAAACCCTGAGCTGTGACACTTAAAACCATCAGCCACAGTCACTGTGAAAATTCACTCCCATGGACAGGGCTTTCCCCCCTGAGCCCCACCAACGAGCTACCTCTGGGTTTATCCCCACAAATCCTGGGACCACAAGGGCCTCCCCACAACTGCCCTGTCCAGTCCTCTGTCCCCTTACAGGCCTGTGATATGGGGGGAGGCAAGGCCAAGACGGATGGCCTCAGCACCCCGGCCGCCTCGGCTGAGGCTCTGCTCCTTGGAAGCATGGATACTGCCTTGCTTTCGCCACCACTGGCTCCACTCTGAGTTTGGGCTGGGAAGAGAGGAGGAGGCGCCTTTGTCCCGAGTCCCATCGGCCTCTCGAGATGGCAGGCTTGGCTCCCCCTCCCAGGAGTCCAGAGAAGGGATGCCTCTCTTCAAAGTGAGGGTCCGGTTCCTGTGCACCCTGTGAGGCGGGACAGGGGACGGCCAGGCCGGTGGTGTGGCTCGCCCGCAGTCAAGACATCCGAAGTGGCAGAGCCCGGACGCAGACTCGGGTCTTCCCGACTCTGGATCCAGTGCTCTGCCCACTGGCCTGGACGACTCAGCGTCCAGCCTCCTTCCATTCTTCAGGGAACCCAGCTTCCAACTGAGACACAGAAAATGAAAGAACTTGCTGTTTTGTGGCTCAGTTCCACACCCTCTTAGAATCCTACCCAGGGCCTGGGTTTGGCCCTCTGATTCTGGCCTCGTTTTTTGGTATTGTGTTTGCAAAGCACAAATAAAGAAAGGAGGGGAAAAAAAACAGGAAATAAGGGACCCCAAAGCCAACTCCAATGAGTGGCCAGGGCTTTGAGTCTATACTCGAGTGTTTACCTCCCAAATGCATGAAGGGAAGAAACGTTGGGTACAAACGACCTCCATTCACATTGTCCAGGCTTCCAAGTGTAGCCGTGTGTCGTCTGTGTGTGCCGTGTGGCTCCCGCCTCCCCACCCCCCCGTAGCATGCTCGTGGCCCTGAATGTCATCAGTCGCCGCCTCCGTCGTCGTGCTCTCTGGCTGCCTCTGCTCTGCACCCCAGAAAGCCCCGAGGTGGCTTCCGTTTGCTTTGCTGCTTTGGTTTGATGTTGCCCTTCTCTGTTTGGCCCTCGTGTGTCCCTTCTCATCCCGGCTCATCCAACTGTCTCTCCTTTCTGTTCCTTTTCTGTTTGTGACACGTTATCTGTTCCATGTCGTGTGGTTTCTTAACCGCGTGTGGTTTTTCTTAAGATTAATTTTTTACAAACAAAGAGCCTCTCCTCCTTCCTCCTTTATTCCCACCTGGTCCCGCTCCCCTTCTGCATGGTCGAACCTCTGCTTTCAAGTTAACAAGGCTCAGTCTCTCACTAGGTCTGGGTGCCCGCTGGAGTGGACTAAGCTTCCTCTAACCACTGTTTCCCATCATCGCTATGAGGGGCCTTCCTTCCTCCTGTCCTAATACCGTAGTCTTCACCCAAACCCAAGCAATTTTTAAAAACCTCACGGATGAACACAACCTAAATCCCCGCTTCCGTTCTTCCCTCTCCTCTCCGTGCTCATGACACCCAGCCAGCGACTGTGGATTCCAGCCACCTGCTGTGCCCGAACCCCTCTCCCCGACCCGCCCCTCCTCCGAGCCCCCCAGAGCTTGGCCGCCGGCCCCCCTGGGGGCAGCGCTCCTCACCCCCCGTGCTTCCCTTGCAGATCCGCGTGGTGAAGGCGTTCCGTAGCTCTCTCTATGAAGGTCTAGAAAAGCCTGAGTCTCGAACCTCCATCCATAATTTCATGGCTCATCCTGAATTCCGGGTCGAAGATTCACAGCCCCACATTCCCCTCATCGACGACACCGACCTGGAAGAAGATGCCGCGCTCAAGCAGAACTCGAGCCCGCCGTCCTCGCTCAACAAGAACAACAGCGCCATCGACAGCGGGATCAACCTGACGACCGACACAAGCAAATCAGCTACCTCTTCAAGTCCAGGGAGCCCCATCCACAGCCTGGAGACGTCGCTTTAGCTGAGGACCCCGCCACCACCCACCTCCCGGGCACCCACCCGTCCAGGCACCCGACTCACCCAAGCAGCAGCGAGCAACAGCAGGAAACCAAATACTGGCGAGAAAACCGTTTCCACCCAACAGACCCTTTTTCTGGCTGCGATGCTGTTTGAACTCTTTTTCACTTCGAGGCGAGGGCGGGATCTCTTCCCGGGGCTTAAGGGAGTGAGCGGTTTTTCCCAGAACTAGCCCTTCCTGGCTCCCACCCGACATGGACCAGCCATGCACCCGCCCGGCGCCATGTCCCCTGCATGAATGTACTGTACACTTCCGGTCCTCCCCTTGTTTGGTTTTTGGGGGGTTGGGGAGGGGGTTTTTGTTTGTTTGTTTGTTTGTTTTCTTAGGCGGGAACTGCAGACAGACTCTTTTCTGAGACTATTTATCCAATCCACTGGTCTGTGAGTTTTTGAAATGCTTGCGCAGCATGGTCTCAGTTGTATAGGTTAATTTAACAACTTTTTGAAATTGCAGAGCTTAACTCGCCTAGTAAATTTGCACCAATGGAACCGAAGAACTTCAGACACTCACAAGGTTATATCCGTTTCTTTGTATCTATATCAACGTATACTTCCCCGAGACTGTATACGTCCATATAGATAGGTAGATACATACGTGTCTATATATATATATATATATATATATATATATATACACACACACACACACACACACACACACACACACACACACACACGTGGATATATAAAGTTTCTTTGCCGGCATGTTGCCTTGTTTCTGCTTAAATTGCTCTATTTTAACTTATTTATGTCCTAAAAGAAGAATGTAATTTGTTTACAAACCTGTAGATAACGTCTTCGGCTATTTGTACGGTGTAAGAACACTGGTGGCTGAGATGCTATACAAACAGCTCAGCCTGATAGACACCTCCCTGGATTGCATCCTTGATGTCTTACGATAGCCATGCTCTGATTTTCGCCTGCTACTTCCGTTCAATTATGTGACTACCGAGGGAGGCTCAGGCGGAAGCCAAATGTTAGCGAGTATCCATCCTGAGGGGTCCAACAGCGTGCTCCGTAGACAAAGGGGGAGGAGGAGAGAAGTCTTCCTGGGCTCAAAGCACTGATGGCCAGCCCGGCCCCAGGGTGACGGGGCTGGCAAAGCACTGGGTGAAGACTTTTCTCTCAATGAGACTCACTTGAGTTTACTAAGAGCATTTCAAACAGAGATTCTCTCTGGCGCTGTCTGTACAGAGACGGAGGTAGTTTTGCAATATTATAAATGCTATTGTGTTGATTTTTTTTTTTCAGTTAGTAATTTAGAGGCTTATTTCCTTATAAATTGCAGCAAATGAGCTGCTGGCATATTGGATGAGGATCATTCTGGCTTTTGCTGCTTTTATTTTTATTTTTGAAGGAGAATAGCCTTTTTCTCTGCACTATTTAGATCCGAACGAACCTTATGACGTGTATATTGAGATGTATTCAGTGTGATTTTTTTAAACCAAATTGTCTTCCTGTAGTCGCAATATATACTGTAGCCTTTGAACAGCAAGTCTTGCTTTCCCAGACAGAAAGCCATTCTGAAACCCTACAGTATCACAGGTGAGAAAAGGTGGTTATTTTTTTCCCTGAGACAATAACAGCACTAGTAATCCCACTTAATAAGAGCTTATTTAATTGTATGTCAGCCTCTTAACTGCTAAGCACTTTGTGGGTATCAGCTTTTTTCATAAAAGAACTTTTGTATTTAATACAAAGTTTGCTTTGAGACTTTTCAGCATACGATCTTTTTCCATAAACTTGTACAGTGCAAAAGACATTTTGAATACCATGATCGACGATGTCCCATGCTTCAAGGAAAACCAAACGCTTCTGCCTCGCTTGCGAAATGCATTCTTCACACTGACCCTTCCCACAGTTGCTCTGTGTCTACCCGGGCCCTTCCCTTCTCCAGGCCCAGAGAATTCTTCCACAAACAAGATGAGAGCCACTCGGGAAAAGAGCCATAGTCAGCTGGGAGGGCCTGCATCTGGATGGCTGTGGAGAAACCCGAGGGTTTAGGATCCCAAGTCAGCCCATCCCACCTGGCAAAACCTTCCTGGAAGGAGGACCTTCTTTGCGTAAGAGCATCTCCTGAATGTCGTGAAGAAATATCTCTGAATGTACCCAGCAGAGGAAACTGCATCGCCCGAGGGGTGACCACCCTCAGAAATGCTTATTGGATTCCAAGACCAATACCGCCCACTGTTCTCCTCAGAGAAAGGAAAGACCCGCTCCTGTAAAACCTGGGGCAGCTTTGGAACATGGTGTTTTTTGTAGTTTCCTTTTTCAAGGTTCTCCATCTCCCACTTTGTTCCAACCTTGTGTCCGTGACCTCATTCCATGACACCAGGAAAGCCCCGCTTGCACACCACGCTCCCTGCTCATTTGGAGCCAGGACGCAAGGGAAGCAGGAGGAGTCTCCCCTAGTGGGACCCAGCCCAGGGGAGAGGGAGCCATGGAAGCTACCGAGAATGCCCCACGTCAGTGTTGGTCTTTTCTTGTCAGGAATGATGGATGCTCACACACACACACACACACACACACACACACACACACACACACACCCTCGCCCTCACACTTGCACACACACATCCACACACACAGGAAATGATTGGTTTGTCAGAACTCCCTGTAGTACATAAAGCTTGCACTCGGCGTCCTATATCTAGCAGCATGGGGTACGTTTGGCAGTTCACCCCATTAGGGGGTAAATAATTTATGACCATTCATCTGTTTTTATGAATTTTTTTATCTAGACAATAACTGTAAATAAAGAACTCACCATCTCTGTTCATTTAATACTATGCAATGGTGATGCTTTCAATTGCTGACTCTTCTTACTCCGTAGTATGGTTCTGAAATGTCTGTGGTCTTAAAAAAAAAAAAAAAAGGCAAAAACCAACATAAAACAGAACATAGTAAATATATACTCTGTAATGTATACTTTTTGCTGGTTTTGGACTGCACCATCCCCTCAGCTTCTTGTCTGCCCTCTGGACAGGGGCTCCAGGAGAAGGTAGCATATTCAGTTCCAAGGTCTAAGCTCACCAATCTGTCTCCCCCTAACAGATGATGGAAGACCAGGGGACCCATTCAATGAGTCACCCACCTTTGGAGGTGGACAGGGAGGAAACTGAAGAGTTTCCTTCCCTAACTCAGCAGCAGCCTGGGTTGCTCCCACCAGCCCCCCCACCGTAGCCCCTTGCCCCCTTGTCCCAACCAGAGCAGAGAGTGGACAAGAAGGAGGGCCCCCTGCTCCTGAGACCAGACTGCACTGGGACAAGGACCCTGGACCTGTCTCAGCCCGGACATCCCAGTTATTGAACAGCCGCT